TTTGGAGCAGAGATCTACTTTAACTATGATGACCACAAGACTAATGGCACATCTTGTGACTATTTTGTCCATTTTTGCCTAGTTTCTTGTGGTTTTTAAACTTAATATATAATCTAGCAAAGTTGTGTACATTCCAATAGGGTTGTATTTGTTTTTGCTTTGACCTTAAATGGAATAATATAGCCCCCAGCATATTAGTAAAGCTTCTAGTTTCTCTTTCACCAGAGTCAAACGTGTTGTGTTATATGGGATGATTCACCACATCTGTACCTATTTTCAAAATCCTAGATGCACCCATGCATACACGTAATCCAAACAAAAAGGTGGTTATGAGACTTGCACACCAATTTCAAACAGATTTAATATGCTTTGTAATCAAAGAATCATAGAAAATTAGGATTGGAAGGGACCTCAGGAGGCCATCTAGTCCAACCCCCTGCTCCAAGAAGAACCATCCTCAACTAGATCATTCTAGCCAAAGCTTTGTCTAAAACTTTGGTCTTAAAAACTTCCAAGGATGGAGCTTCCACCACCTCTCTGGGTAACCTGTTCCAGTATTTTAGTGAGAACATTCTTCCTAATATCTAACCTAAACTTCCTTTGCTTCAACATGAGATTGTTTCTTGTCCTGTTATCTGCCACCACTGAGACCAGTCTAACTCTATCCTTGTTTGAACCCCACTTCAGGTAGTTGAAGGCTGGTTTAAATCACCTTTTAGTCTTCTCTTCTCTAGACTAAATATGCCCAGTTCCCTCAGCCTGTCCTCATTAGTCATGTATCCCAGCTCCCTTCCAATTTTTGTTGACCTCTGCTGGACCCTCTCCAATGTATCCACATCCTTTCTGCAGTGGGGAGCCCATAACTGAACGCAGTACTCCAGATGTGGTCTCACCAGTGCTGAATACAGGGGAATAATCACTTTCCTTGACCTACTGGCAACACATCTACCAATGCAGCCTGGGATGCTGTTAGCCTTCTTGGTAACAAGGGCACACTGCTGGCTCCTATTCAGCTTATTGTCTACTGTAACCCCCTGGTCCTTTTCTGCAGAGCTGCTGCCCAGCCAGTGGTTCCCAGTCTGTACTGGTGCATGGGATTGTTTCGTCCTAAGTGCGGGACTTTGCACTTGTCCTTGTTGAACTTCATGAGATTTCTTTTGGCTCAATCGTTCAATTTGTCTAGGTCAATCTGAATCCTAGCCCTACCCTCCAGTATATCTATTATTCCCCGCAGATTGGTGTCATTTGTAAACTTGCTGAGGTTGCACTCTATGCAATCTTCCAGGTTGTTGATGAAGACATTGGACAAAACTGGACCCAGTACTAACCCCTGGGGCACTCCACTTGATATGACTGCCAGCTAGACATTGAACCATTGATTGCTACCAGCTGAATTAATACTCCAGCTACTTTTCTGTCCATCTCACAATCCATCCAACCGATACCTCCTTAGCTTGCCTGCAAGCATGTTGTGGGAGACCATATCAAAAGCCTTGTTAAATCAAGGTATACCACATCCACCAGTCTCCCCACATCCACAGAGGCAGTCACCTCATCCAAGTTGGTCAGGCATGACTTGCCTCTGGTGAATCAATGCTGACTGTTCCTAATCACCTTCACCTCAAGTGCTTAGAAATGGATTCCTTGAGGATCTGCTCCATGATTTTTCCAGGGACTGAGGTGAAGCTGACTGCTCCCTAGTTCCGTGGATCCTCTTTTTTTCCTTTCTTAAATATGGGCACTATGTTTGCCCTTTTCCAATCATCTAGGACTCTCCTGATCGCCAGTAGCTCTGCAATCACATCAGCCAACTCCCTTGGCACCCTCAGGTGCATCCCATCCGGCCCCATGGACTTGTATATGTCCAGCTGGTCTAAATCGTCTCTAACCTGTTATTTTGCCACTGTTGGCTGCTCACCTCCTCTCCATACTGTGCTGCCCAGTGCAGCAGTCTGGGACCTGAACTCGCCTGTGCAGACTGAGGCAAAAAAGGTACAGAGCGCTTTGGCCTTTTCTGCATCCTCTGCCATAAGGTTGCCTCCCGCATTTAGTAAGGGTCCCACACTTTCCTTGAGCCTCCTTTTGCTACCAACATACTTGTAGAAACTCTTCTTGTTTACCCATCACATCCCTTGCTAGCTGCAGCCCCAATTGTGCTTTGGCGTTCCTGAGTTAACCCCTGCATGCCTGAGCAATGCTGTTATATTCCTCCCTAGTTATTTGTCCAAGGTTCCACTTCTTATAAACTGCCCTTTTGTGATTTAGTTTACTGAACAGTTCCCTGCTAAGCCAAGCTAGTCTTCTGTCATACTTGCTAGTCTTCCTGTGCATTGGGATGGTTTATTCCCGCACTCTCAGTAAGGCCTCTTTAAAGTAATAACAGATTATAAACAAGTCCAGATCAATATCTGTAACTTTTAATGTCATCACAATGACATCTAATGCAACAAATCATGACCTTTCTTCCCCTGCTAATGTGCACAAGGCAAGCCAATTTGTTCATTTTTTTCTCTGTTGTCTGACACACATCAGTGGAGTGCAGGAAACTGTCCATATTTCCAGAGTATCATTTGGTGGGTTGTTTGGCCAGAGCTATTATGGCTCCACATGCTATCTCCTATCATTAGGTTTGATGGGGCAAGCTTTCTCCTGGGCAAAGTAAATATCTCACCAGAAGCAGATGTAATCAATTGTAGGTGACAAAAAAGGGGGACATAGATCTCTCCTACCTTGCCCATTGCTTCTTATCTCTGTTGTTCCTTCCATACTCCTGTTTTCTGCTTCTGCACTTGTCATCTCCCCACTGGGCCTTCCATACTCAGCCCTTCCCTCTTGTTCATTCTTCGTGGCCTTAGCAAAAACGCTCATTTCTCTCTGTGCTTTGGCTCCTGATAGTATGAGATTTGTGGTACTGGGAAGTGAGGTAGGGTCAGGACATGAGGGACAGGGGTAAGAAAGGCAAGTTTGTGCTGGGGACAAGGTGAACAGCTGTATTATGGAGTCAGGGAAGGGATCCTCAGTGGATACCAGGTTCTGAGAGCTGATGAACTTGCTGTGCCCGGTACAGCCAAGGGTCCAGTGCTGTGGGGAATTTTCCAAGCATCAGTACTTGAGTACAGACAGAACTGGGTTCCTTCTCCCACATCCTGCGCATCTAGGACAGTGGTTCCCAGCCTTTTCTTGCCGCAAGCCTAAATCAGGACCCCCAACCCAGAGCTAACCCTAGGGAGGGTGTGGGGCCCTTAACACTGTACAGGGCCCTGCAGCTGGAATAAATGTAAAGCAACCTTCACCTTGTGGGCTGGGAGGGTGGGCCAAACCACAGCTGCCCTGTGGGAAGGTCTGTGGGTGCTCTGCGGGACCAATGCTACCCTATTGTGGACTCCCTGCGACCCTAATTTGGGTCGCAGCCTGAGGTCGGGAACTGCTGATTTAAGAGATGCTCCTCTGTACGTAATTCTTTATCTTGGCAAGTCCCATGAAAATCCATTGATGAAAAACAAGCCTTGCAGTGAGACACTTAAACTTGTTCTACGCTTAAAAAGTTTTCCTGGAACATCTATATCAGGAAGGTCAGAGTAATTTTTTTACAAGATAAGTATGGCAGTAAATGCCCTAGTACAGATGTAGTTTTAGAGCTAGAAGCCTTTTTTTTAGTAAAACTTATTTTGCTTTGTTGAGGCAGAATAAGTTATACCCATAATTAAGGTAGCAAAACTTAAACATGTAGACAATTTCTTGGTGAGTTTAATCAAGGTAGTTTATCAAAGGGGAAAACATTCACAGATAACTTGATCGCAACCTACTGAGACCTACAGTGGGAGAAGACCTCAGACACGTGCCAGAGTATAAGCATGTCGCCGCTACAGAATTAACCCAAGCTCTTACCCAGGTTGTGACCTGAACTATTCACACACAAACTCTGACACAGGTGAGTGGGTTTTTCAGACCCCGAGTAGCTGCCCTACATGCCACGGTGGTGAGTCTGGATTCCTCTTCCCAGCGAGCTGTGAACTTTAACGTGCACCGGCAAAGATACAGTCTGTGTGTCTATAAAGAAAAAAAAATAAGCCGTGCCATTTCCAACAGGGAACCAGAGGGACATTTGCAGCAGGATAAATAACAGTATTAGTATTTATCCAGAACAATATCACCCGCCCTCTAAATGCGGTTAGTTTTTTGGCACTAAATGTTAAATCCAGATTTGCTGCGTCCTGGACGGGACAGGACCGACACCGCCATGACCCGGGCGCGGCCGCCCGCCCGCCGGTACAATTCCTGTTCCGCGGGAAGCTGGAGA